GATCCTCTCTTTCTGCTACCTGAGACAAAACGGGCCCCAGCCCTCTGTCCGGTGCATAGGTCTGCAACACAAGAGAGAGAGAAGTCAGGGGAGTGAAGTATGGGCCCCTCACAGAGAGCTGCCTTCACTTTTGCAAAAGCCCGTTGACACTGCTCCGTCCACTGGACTGGGGCTGGTGCTCCCTTTTAGTGAGATCTGCCAGTGGACTGATGAGGTCTGAAAATTTTGGTACAAATCTAGGATGGTCCAGGATATACTGAACCTCATTTTTACTAGGGGTGAGACCATCCTCCCTGCATTCTCTTACTACATCCAATATCCCCTGAGGCTTTGGCCATATAAAAGTTCAAATGGCGAAAACCCAATGGAGGTCTGGGGTACCTCCCCAACCATTTGTTCTAATTACAACTGTCTTCATGCACAGACTTACAAATCATGATTTTCAGGGTTTTATTAAACTGTTGAGGATGTGTCCGAGGATGGACAGACTGGTAGACACACCTCTTTTCTGTGGCCAGGGCTACACAAACCGCACACCCCTTCGGCCTTTTCATCACTTTAGTAGAGGTTAATCTTGGTTCCTGGACTTTTGTGGCTCATCGCTGTATTTCTTTGCAAATTCCAATCTGGCCCTCCAATTCCTATTGCTGATGAGTGCTTTGCATCTTGAGGTATCGCTCTATATTTCTGCCTGCAAAGTCTTCTTCGAACAGTGGATTGTGATACCGTCACCCCTGCCCTGTGGAAGTTGTTGGTGATGTCACTGACTGTTGTGGTTTTTCTTCACAGCTCTCACAATGTTTGTCATCAACTGCTGTTGTTTTCCTTGGCCAACCTATTCAATGTCTGGTTGTTAGTACTCCCGTGGTTTCTTCCTTTTTTCAAGATATTCCAAATTGTTGTATTGTTGTAATCTTATAGATTTTCTCTCTTTTCTCAGCTTTAAAATGGCTTGCTTTTCTCCCATAGACAGTCCCATAGAAGGTTGTCATTTTCTTTATCCATTTTAACAACAAATGCAAGCAAAACCCAGGGCTCAAACCAAGAGTAGACATTCAGAGCTATTAATTCTTTAAACAATCAATCTAACAGGGCACACCTGGGCAACAAGAAACACCTGTTAGTCGCATGTTCCAGTATTTTTGATCACTTGAAAAATGGGTTAGTTCAAACAAAAGGTGCCATGTTCTTAGCTGTTTAACACATTTAGATGTACTATCAGGAAATCAAAGGTGAAATTCTGATCTATCGTCTCATATTCATCTTTTGAATGAAAAAGCTGCCTTGCCATTCCAATACTTTAGGAAAGGACTGTACATCCCATGGAGAAACAGTTGCAGGAGAAAGAACAGGCTTGGGGAAAATGTTTTCAAATTTTTTGGGCAATGTTTCACACAGTGCATTGGTTTTGCTGATGCTTGCACTGGATTGCACTTCCTCTTCCATCCAGCGGGGTCAATGTAGCTCACCCTGCCGCTGGCAGCTTCTTTCTTCTCAGGGCTAGGGTGGGCAGAAACCTGGTCGGTGGATGTGAGGTCCGGTGGGTCTTCATGAACGCTGCCTGGTGATGCTCTGCTACTTGGATGGCATCGAAGAGTGTCTCTGGTTGGTGACACTGAATCCAGTCTTTTGTTCCACTGGGTAGTCATGTGATGAACTGATCCAGCATCACATGTTCCAGAACTTTCTCCAGCTCCATCAGGTCAAACCGCTGCTACCTTTTGCGGGCAGTCTCTACGTGAATGTACACAGCATATCTCCTTCCCTCGGTGTCATCTCCTGGAAGCACCATCGATGCTGCAGAGGTGTGAGCCTCGCTCGCTCCAGTGCTGCCTTCTTCATGGTGCCGTAGCTTAGCTGGCTAGCGGATGGCAAACTGCAGGCCACCAGCTGTGCTTCACTGGTCATCAGGAATTGGAATGTGCAGCCCCCATTTGCTCTTGGGCTAGGCACATGCAATCGCTGTCGTTTCAAGTATTTCCAGAAATGATTCTGTATCATGGGCTAGGGCCATGCACGAGATGCTGGATGGTGGCTCAAGCTGCACCCTGGTCAGACACCACCTGAGACAGGAGTGCAGGCTGTGGAGATCCGGATGTTGCTGCTGCTGCAGGGTGGCTCCATGCACACAAGGAGGATTTGCACTAGCGGACTTTTGCTCTTAAACTTTTGGCCTTTTTTTTGTTTTTGTAACGACCAAACTCAAAACCAAAAAACTGCAACATGAATATTCGCCGCTTCAGCTTCTCGTGCTCCTGCTCTGCATCACTAGAACATGCATGCGCATGCACACACAGGAAGGAACACACACACGGAAGAAAGGGCATGGGTTATATAAAACAGGAATTATTATGCACAGTTGGAACCCCTTACTAATTGTCCTTACCTTTGCCCCCCAAACTCCGTCCTCCATTCCATCCTTCGCTTGAACCAACCCAGCCTGCCACAGATATATATATGTAAAACACAACATGGTTGAATTTACATGTGATAGATGCTTCAATCAGTATGCCAAAGCATCTCAAAAAAGTTTGATTAACTTAAAAAAAGCTTTGCCACATTATTTGTTTAAAATGTATTGTTTATTAACTAATATAACAAGGCAGTTTATAAATATATTGGAGTCAAATGGAAATACATCTCTCTGTACTGTAGTAAAATGTACATTATTAAGCACAAATACTAAAAACAGTGTAAGGGTGTATTTCATATATAAATATGCTGACTTATCCATTATAGTAACAGGCATTAGATAATTAAGAGAATTTATGGGTTTTAAGAGGAAACATTAGCATTTTAATAGCACAATAAGACACCAAAATAAATTGGTTGTAATAACTGAAAAAAATTCTCTGACCTACATTTTGCAGTTACTGAAGATGACTGAATGAATGATCTTTTTTTTAAATTTTTTTAATCTTTTCCTGAAGCACTGTCACTTGTCACTTCACTGTCATTCATAAGCATTAAAACAAACAAACAAAAAAATCCCTTTAAACTGTGTTTAGGATTAGATCAAATGAAATTTGTTTGCTTTTCTGCCATAAACACCTGGAATGAAGTTGCAATGAAACAAGTGACCTTTTGTAATTTATTTAACAGCTCACACTGAAGACAGAATCAAGAATGCAGTCATAGAAGAGTGAGCAAAGTTCATCTAAGAGAATGCACTGGTGGATGCTTTGGTGTTTTCTTTAAAGTTATGTTGGGATTTTAAAATAATATTGACTTGTTATAATGTAGCACAATATCTTACAGACAGCCTTTTTGTTTTGACTGGATTCATTTAGCTAAAGCTTGTGAATGTTGCTAATGCAAAGTACTGAGTAATCTGAGCAAGTAAAATAGTCTTAAAAAAAGTAAAAATAAAGAAAAAAAGATTTTGGCCAAGCTAATGCTTTTGATTTAGTATGTGAGGATTGAGCTGTGCTTCAGTTGAAAACCTGCAAAAAGCCTAAATGTGTCTGCTGTTGGAATGAATTTAATCCCAATATGGTGACCTGCACATTAAAAACTCAAAACATTTCATGTAACATTTCTGATAAAAAGCTTGGTGTGCACTGTTGAGAGCAGCCTTGAGATGTGTTTTTATATTTGTTTAACCTTAATTGTAGTTATGTGAGATTTGTGGACGTAATGTTTCGATAAAATAAATTCATCATTATCAATTCACAGAATTATGTAACCTGGTTGCAATGTTGTATCATATGAAGTACAAGTAATACACTGGGAAAACTCTGAACAACTACTCTTGCACCTTTTTAAATATTAGCATTTTCACCATTTTGTATTTTTATATAAAATATGCATTTATATTGATTTTTTTAAATAAAAAAATAATTAACCAAGACAACGTGTACTTTATTTCTGTTGCTAAAAGCAGAAACTCGATCCTGCAGTATTATTCAGTGTAAGTAGAGGATCTCAGTGCAGTAAAGTTCAGGAGTAAATGAGGAATCAAACAGAAGTGTTATTACTCTTACTGCATGTCTACACACTGGTACACTGATGTTCAGGACTAACATAACACTGAAAATGTTCAAAACACAACACAGGAAATTAACATTACAGCAGTGGCAGTGATTCAGATGAACAAAAGATAATTATGGAGTGAATTACAAGGTTTCAATGTTAAATCCTGCTAGATAACTTTGTCATAAGTGCACTTTTTCACACTCTTGGCAGAAGGATCAAGAGAGTCAGGATTAGGGGTTTGTATGCCTAGTTTTTATTTTTATTGACCTGGGTAAAACTATTCATATGCAGGATTTAATCAACAGGTTTTCTTTCTGCATGTTTACAAAATTAATGCTGAATATTAAGTGTTTTTCTCACAACTTCTTCTGTGCTATTTAGTTTATGCATTAAAAATCACTTTAACCTTAGTATTACTAACATTCATTAGACTAAAAAAACACACTCCACTTGTCTTAATCATTACATAATGTTTTGTTCACACTCTTTATTGGGAAATAAATAAAGAAAATGTCATCAATCTCCATTTTTTAAATAAAATAATTCAAGGTATTCCTGATATTTAGTACAAATTCAAACCAGCAGGCACTGGCAGTGTGAAGGCACTCGAAGCTGAAAATTAGAGAAACTAAAGTATTTATGGTTAATACATTATAGCCAGTGTTCATAAATGTACCAGCTCATGTACCAGTTTACAGATCACTGCTGTCAGATTGAAACAGAGCTGGATTTTTATTGTATGTTGGCTCCACCTTGTGGTTAAAGAAGAATTATGTTTAATGCAATATTTATTTTTTAAATTCATCTTCAGTAAAAGCAGTAAGACCTGGTCAGGGTCACAGCGGATCTGGACTATACCCCAGGAACACATGAGCATGAGGCAGAAATACTCTTTGGATGAGGCACCAATTGCCAATTCACCTACCAGCATATTTATTTTTAGGAGGCGGGAAGAAACTGAAAAACCTGGAGGAAACCCATTCAGACGCAGGGGGAAACATGCACAGAAATTCTACGCATAAAATAAACAGAGCTCAGGATCAAACCAGGGACCCTGGAGCTGTGAGGGAGCTCAGTGCTACCCACTGCACCACCATGCCACCCCTGACATAAATTTACAATATAACTGAGTTACTGAATTAATTAATAAAAATTTGGCAAAATTATCACGTCTTATTTCTCTTGAAGGCAGAGACACCACTGGTTGCTAGTCATGTCACCCTTGTTACTGAAACTCCGAGGTGTGTGTCAAAATACAAAACCCTTTGCTTCAAAACACTGTACTGGTGCTTTTGGTGTGTTCTGCCAAAAACACATGACCAGTTACATCTGAAGATTCATTTTGTCACACAACCACATGACCAGTTTCAAAACTGGATCAAAATAAGTGCAAATTCTAGTGCACATTTCGAAGATCATTCAAGAAAATAGTGTTCCGATTTAGTTACTGTGATCAGCGATACAGTAATATTTTATAGTCATGAAACCAACAAAGAAAAAACCAACAAAGGTTGTTCTGGAGTTTAATAGTAAGTAATATTAATGCAAAGAGCTTAGCTTTGCTTATACCTAAAACAAAAAATATAAGGGGGTTGTATTACCATTTTTTCTACGCATCATTATATAATATTACTAGTTGACTTTATTGTTAAAAAATAAAAACTTTTCAAAGCATTGGAATGCACAGATATGTGAGGCAGCACAGATATGTTAGCTGGAACCCAAAACCTTCTGCAGCATCCACAAGGAGCTGCACTTCATCCCTCTGACCACCAGATGCCACCAGTGCGCACTGGGATGAAAAGCCTCTAGTAATTAACCTTTCATGGTACATTTGAGAGGAAAGTTTCATTGCTTCAGAAAGCTTCATTTTGCCATCACTACTGGATATGGTCATTAAATCAAGAATACAATTTAATTGTCTCACGTTTTAAGATTATACTTTATTCAAAAAAGAAAATTGAATGCTAATTTATATTTTTATAATAAATAGATAAATAATAAATAGTTATAATAAATGATGTTCTTATAGTATTTTTGGTGATCTATTGATAGGCATTGACTTATAAATTAGTTATAGGCCTATATATATATATATATATATATATATATATATATATATATATGTTGGATCCACATTTAGAGATAGATCTTGCCTTTATTAACCTCTTCTAATAAACTTCTAATGTGATACTAGCATGGCCGTAACTAGCTATAAGGACACTGATGTCTGGACCTTGGTAATTTCAGATAGTCTTGGGGTATTTTGTATGAGTTTTATGTTCACCACTAGGAGTTTGGGAGAAAAGCTACCGCTTGTCTGTTTTAGTTCAAATGTAGACACTAGAATATGCACATTTTATTAATCACTGTACAGAATATACTATGCACATCTTTTTTTCCCCTAGAACAGAAATTTTTTACACAAGTTTGTTCATTGAAAAATCTCATATTTATGTAAATAGGCTATAGATGATTTATGGTACGATCTCTGCTCTATTGCTCTTTAATGAGAAATCAGTTCACTGGGACAGTTTTAAAAAATAGGCAAGGAGAAAAAAGGGAGTGATTTGTCTTTAATTTTGAGGCTAATATAAGGATAATTTCTTAATAAGTAGACAAAAGAAATATTGTATTTTTGCATAATATGTGATGCTTTAATATAAAGCCAATTAACTCTCACTTTAAAGAACCATGAAGGCAAACTTGAAGGAAAATTTCTTAGGATGTTGTTAAATTACCTATATTTGTAGGCTGAAATCAACAGGTAATTAAGGCTTAGTCTTATAAACTAAAATATTTAATGGTGTAACTGAGACCAGAGCAGTTTATGGGATAATGGAAAGAAAACATAACAGAGATTAAAAATGAGCAATTACATTGGATTCACATTTTACTATATATGTTATATAAATAGTTTAGACTTTTTTTTTTAGTACAAGCACGGTCTAAAAATGATAAGAAAGAAAGAAAGAAAGAAAGCCACTGTCCAGCCTAGCTACGTGGCTAACTCACCTGTAGAAGCTGTGTTTACCTCAGAACAGCGTTCTGTGCTTTCACGAGGAATGCCCGGATGTAAAGGTGGGCTCTGATTGGTCCCGAACACGGAAACGTGGTCCATGAAGATAAAATACATGAAGAACCACATGCTTTAAAGTTATATATCTCCAAATTCTCGAAAAACAGACAGAACTATTCGACATGTCCAAATATGATTTTACACCTCATGAAATAAAGCCGAATTCGAGAAACGTTTAAATCGTTGCGAAGATCACTACGGCCACAAAAACGATGACGTCACTTCCTCCGTGTGCGAATGCTAGGCGGGACTTCCGGTTGTATTTCAGGTGAAACGAAACTAAAACGAAAACGTTTCAGAAAGTAACGCAAAGAGTTTACTTTGTTCAAAACAGTCTAAAACAGTCTAAAACAGTTTTTGTTCAGTGTGAAGCTTCTTCAGTGTTTCTTTAAGGAACTAAAGCCACAGCAGGTAAATTATAGAGAGCAGAAAAAGGGGAGAAAAAAGGAGAGAAAGTTGAAGCAGGTAATGTGTCTTATTTCCTCCATTCCTGGTGAGTGGTTGTTAAGGTGAGACACTGCAGGTGAACAGGGTCGTTTCTAAAACTATAGCTGTCACAGTCAGTCTTAGGCAGCTTATTGCTGATATTCTCACAAGTATTTTTGTATTTGAACTTCAAAAAAATACACTAATTAAGCAAATGAGACGTAGTCGAATTAAATATGCATACATTTGCATACATAATAAACAAATTTTGTATTTTGATGTTAGAATTTGAGTTAGAAATGTTTGTTCCACTATGAATACTATGAATAGAAAAAAAAACTTGTACAGAAAAGTTTGTTGGAAAATAATTTGTTCATTATTTAATGAAAAAAAAAACATGCACTGTTATAATTTTGTTTTTCTCATTTTCTGTATAAAAATGTAACATAAATCCAAGTGATAGGAATCTTTCCTGAATTAAATGAACTTTCTGATCATGATGGAAAAACTGACTTTGAGAAAAACACATTAAACACATTAAATATGGTTTAATGTGTTCCCACTCTAGTTAGTGTTATTTAAATGGTTTATAAAGGAAATTAACACGTAAAGCATGATGACAGGTTCATTGGCATTTATACATTATATGGCCAGAAGTATGTGGACAGCTGACCAGCACACTCATATGTGGTTCTTCCTCAAACTGTAGCCACAAAGTTGGAAGCACAGAATTGTATAGAATGTGTTTGTAAGCTGTAGCATTACAATTTCCCTTCACTGGAACTAAGAGGCCCAAACCTGTCCCAGCATGACAATGTTCCTGTGCACAAAGCGAGCTCCATGAAGACATGGTGTGTTAAGGTTGGAGTGGAAGAACTCGAGTGTCCTGCACAGAGCCCTGACCTCAACCCCACTGAACACCTTTGGGATGAACTGGAACACCGACTGCACCCCAGACCTCCTCATCCAACATCAGTGCCTGACCTCACTAATGCTCTTGTAGCTGAATGAACACAAATCCCCACAGCCACGCTCCAAAATCTAGTGGGAAGCCTTCCCAGAAGAGTGGAGCTTATTATAACAGCAAAGAGGGAATAAATCTGAAATGAGTTCACTTGTTCAACAAGTGCATATGGGTGTGATGGTCAGGTGTCCACAAACATTTGGACATGCACTGTATCAGGAAACAAGCTTTTTAGGCATAAAAAGCTGTGATTGTGAAGTGGGTGGAGCTTAAAGCATTCACTAAAATGAAATAAATCTTTTGTTTCTGTTGAGTTTTGATATTTGTATTACTACAAATTTAAGAGAAGATATTTAGAAGAATTTAAGAGAAGACATTTTGTAGATGCAGTTTAACCAAAATGTGAGCAATGATTGACATGACCAAAATTGTTATTTCTACCTGCACTGTTTTGTCTTAAATGTATGTTAGCATGTATTACTCTTAATCAGGATTAGAATATTTATTTATGGATTTTGATTTATAAAGCAGATTACCAGATGAGGTTGTAGTGGGAGAATTATTTCAGCACAGTAAATTTGCTGGAGACCAAGTGTGAACTTTATACAGCAGATAAACAGCTGCTTATAGTATACGCTGTTTTTCTCTTGTTTGATCACTGATAATATTCATGGTGGAAATGGGACATCTGAATGTAGTGATGTTATAAATAAGTAAATAAGTTATACCAAATAAGTTTACTTTCAAGTTTTTTAATATCTAATTTATTGATAAATCTGTGTGTTTCTATGGTGTCAGATCTCTGTTTTTCCTCTATCAGACATGGCCTCCTCCAGCAGTCTCTTATATGAAGACCAGCTCCAGTGCTCCATCTGTCTGGATGTGTTCACTGATCCAGTCTCTACTCCATGTGGACACAACTTCTGTAAGATCTGTCTGAAAAAGTGCTGGGACACCAGTCCATACTGCCAGTGTCCAGTGTGTAAGGAGGATTTCCCCAAAAGACCTGAGCTTCGTGTGAATACGTTCATCTCTGGACTGGCTGCTCAGTTTAAGAAGTCAGTTCAGGTGAAATCCAGCAGCGCTGCAGATCCGCTTCTGTCCAATACTAAAAAGGTTCTGTGTGACTCCTGCACTGAGGAAAAGCTGGGAGCTCTAAAGTCCTGTCTGCACTGTGGGGTTTCTCTCTGTAGCACTCATCTGATGCCTCATAAAACTACAACCAAATACAAAAAGCACAAACTGATTGACCCTGTGGAGAACCTGGAGGACTACATCTGTCAGAAACATGAGAGACCCCTGGAGCTGTTCTGTAGAGACGACAAGATGTGTGTGTGTCAGTTCTGCACTGAGACAGACCACAAAACTCACAAAACTGTTCCTGTAGAGGAGGAAGGTCAGTTAAAGAAGGTAAGGGACATTTAGTCACATTAATATAATTTATTTGTGATTTTTACATCCTAAAATGACTTTAATCATCTATTCTAATTTGTAACCTCACATTTATCTCTTTTTATTAGAGTCACTTGGGGAAGAAACAGGTGAATTTTCAAAAGATGATTCAAGACCGACTGAGGAAGATTCAGGAACTCAAACAATCTGTAGAACTCAATAACGTAAGTTTTCTTAAA